AGTACCAAAAAAAAATACATCATCACTCAGGCATGGTGGCACATACCTGTAATCCCACACTCTGGGAGGCTGAGGCAGGAGGATCCCAAGTGCAAGCCCAGACCTTGTTTCAAAGTTAAAAAATAAAAATAGGCTGGGATGTGGCCAAATGGGAAGGTCCCTGTGATCAATCCCAATACTGCAGATAGACAGATAGACAAATAGATCCATAGATAGAAGTAACAATACACAGTCATTGTGGAAAACTGCTGCAAGGCAAAAATTACCATAGTCCCACTGGCCAAGGATAATGCGGCCTCACTCTGTCTAGGAGTTGTGCAGTTAAACAAGGTTAGTACAGGCTCTGAAGACCAAAGCAGACACAAGCTGAGCGGAAGGCAAATAGCATTTGTGGGCCCTGGCTGAGCATCCTCAGGTCAGGACACGGGAACCTGTCCCCTTTCTGCAAGTTGGGATGCTAAGGCTTGGAGGCTGGGGTCCTGCAGGAGCCTGGCAGGCGGCGGTGGTGGGGCCAGGGCCTGACTCCATGGACCCTGCCTGACAGTTCCTCACTGTGCCCCACTGGCCTAGGTGGGGATGCCCCTGGCCACCCTGGACCCTCGAAGACCCAGGGCTGTGGCAGGAATCCACAATTTGCAAAGTGACAGGCTGCATCCCAGAGTCCCCTCGTGGCCTCACAGCTTGTCCCAGCTCAGGGTCCCTGTGCAGCTGTCCTGGGTGTTTCCCACTCCCAGGGCTCCATTCTGTAGAGCCCGGCACAGAGATGGCAGGAGGTGGGTACTGAGGGGCTCCTGCCAAGGGCTGGCTCGCTTTCCTGGCTTCAGATGAACATCTGTGCCACTCCACCCTGCAGTCCCCCGAGCTGTGAGCACACAGCTGGCCCTCCCCTCCCTGCCTCGGGTACCACGCCTGTGTCCATCTCATTGTTCCGTGCATGGCACAAGTCTGTGCCACCACTTTGCCCCTCTCTGGTGGGCTCTGCTTCTGCCTCTAGAAAACACTGATCACAAGGCTTCTGTGTGGCTCTGTGCTTGGGTCTAAGCAGGACTTCCTTACACCCCTTCTGGTGTGCAGCTGCCTGCGTTCCTGTGGCCTCTGGCTGCAATCGCAGTTGCAGAGAGAGCTGCTGAGGCTACATCCTGCTGATCTTGCCATCACACAGCACCCAAAGTCTGTTACAAACGGCCACCTCTAAGCTGTGCATCGCTTTCTTCCCGAGATGCAGCCATTTTAGTGTCCCTAGGACCAGCCCGGGGCCTGGACTGCAGGGTGCTCATGAACTGTCCACTTTAGGGTGACCCCAAAAAGGTATTATGTTAGCACTGATGGTTGGCATCCTTCTTTCCTGTGTAGGAGAGGAGTGGCCTCACAGTGCAGAGTGTGGTGAGGCCCTTCAATAGGTTAACACTTGGGGTGGATGGATGGATGGATAGGTGATAGATAGATGGATAAATGGGTGGGTGGATGGATGGTTGGATGAAGAGATGGATGGATGAGTGGATGCATGGATGGATGGAAGGAAGGATGCTCTTGTGCCAACGTGGTGTAAGAACAGAGCCTCACTTTTCTCTCAGTGATGTCACCATGGCAGGTGACGTGCACTCACTAGTCCCAGCTGGTCATTTTGGATTCTGACTGTGCCTTCTCTCTGTAGACAGGTCCTTGTAGTCAGGGTCACCTGTGAGTATTAGATTGTTGGTAGATGATGCTGTCCTCTGACAAAGAGGGATTTGGGTCTGCACATTACATCTGATCTTTCCTTTTTTATACAAAGTGCCATATCTGATGTCAGGCAGATCCATGTTGAAATCCCTGACTTGGGGCAAGTTGTTTAACTTCTCTGAACTATAATGTGCTCATTTGTAAATAGGGAAATCAAAGAGCACTACATTGAAGAATTGTTGTGAAGGTAGATGCTGAGTTGCCCTCATAAAGTGCCCAGGATGTAGTCTGATGATGAATGTTACACACAGAGACAATGATGGTGTTGCTCATGGGGACAGTGATGGTGGTGGTGGTGATGATGAGGATGGAGATGATATGAGCACGAGGATGCTGATGATAATGAAAATCAGAGCAGGTGACTGAACGACAGTGCCGGAACCCCTGAGCTAAATCCCCGGCCCAGAGCTCATGTTTTAATCTCATAGGCAAGGGTTCTTTCCTCCAGAAACCCAGTACACTGAGAGTGCCCATGGCCACATCTGTTCTTGGGGCAGAGCCTGACTTCAAACTGTGATGTGTTTCTCTTCCTTCTGGCTTCCTGGCTGGCGGAGAGCAGGTGGTGCATCAGAACCTCAGGAAGGATAGGGGTGCCGTGCATGCAGCCAGGTCCTGCCCTCACAGTGCCTGACCGGCTGTCGTTCTCTTCCACCCCCAGGCTTCCGGCACAGGAGTCTCATGAGGAGCTGTGACAGTTATGAGGCCTGGATCCCCCCGGGATTCTGATGAGATTGGGCTGCAGGGAGCCCAAGTCTGCTCGGAAGCCCCCTCTGGGCGGTCTGATCTGCAGCGAGACCCTGCGCAGCACTCCACTCCTCATGGTGGGGCTGCTTCAGAACAATCGTGCTGGCTCTGGTGGGGAGGGGAGCAGGCTCCTGATTTGAGGCACAGCCAGCGGTCTTAGATGTGTCACCAAAGAGGGAGGCAGCTGTCGGATGAGGGCCTTCATGTTCAGCCATCTCAAAAAGAAGAGGGTGCAGGTGAGTGGTCACAGTGACATGCTGAAGTCACAGGGCCAGGCAGGTCAGTGACCAGGCAGGTCAGTGGCCTTCTTCAGCCCTGTCTAGGAAAAGAGGAAACAGCCCAGATTATTCCAGTGAGCTTTCCAGAGTCACACAAGTATCCACTTGTCCACCATCATTCATTCATCTGTCCTCACACCTTTCCATCGCCCACCCAGCCATCTGCCCACCTATCTACCATCCATCTATCCATTCTCCACCCACCCATCTACCCATCCACTTCCCTAGTCACCCACTCATCCATTCACCCATCTATCCAGCCATCCCCCCTACCCACCCCTTATGCAGGTTGGAAAACAGTGAGAGGTATGTGGTCCTCACAGCTTACCTACCAGGTAGGAGATGCCTTGTGATGAGAAGAACCACAGCAACTGCTCTGGGAGGGAAAACTTGGTAGGCACTGAGGTGGTCTGGAACAGCTGATTGGACATAGGAGGGCACTGTGAAGATGGACTTGGTGGAAGGACAACCAGGGCTGGGAATGGGAACAGAGCCATGGCTACAGCCTGCGTGGTTTCACAGGCTGGTAGAGGAGCGCACACTTAGCGCGGCACCTGCTGTGTCCACTGCTCTGCCCCGAGCCTGTGGCTGGGCCAGCTGGGTGGCTTCTCCATGAACATCCTGAGTGAGAGGGTGAGTGCAGGAGGCAGAGGCCAGGGCCTGTCAGGCGTTGGGAGGGAGGACGCTCTGAGCTGGGCCCAAGGCAGGGGAGCTGCTGGGAAGGGCCACAGGGTGGGCAGCGAGGCAGGCTCAGGGCTGGGGACACGAGTCGGGCAGCAGGGGGCCCTGCCCCTGGCTCTGTTTCTGTGTCCTCCCCAGCCAGCCTGGCCTCTGATACCATCACAGGCTTCACAGAGCACGCTGCCCACTCAGAGCCATCTTGCAGCCTTCTCTTCTTGGGAGGGGACAGTGTCCATGTGCTCCCTGGTCACTGTTTCTCCAGCTAAGCTTAGGAATCCATGAGGAAGCCCTGCTGCGCTGCTGGCTGGCCCTGCCCTGCTCTCCATGGCTGTTGTACAAGATCCCACGTGGGCCGGGCAGCTGGGCCATGCACCCTGCGTCTGGGGAGAGGGATGCACAGGGAAGACAAGTTGCTGCCCGCCCAGCAGGCTCACTGGCTCCCTGCCCATCTTGGGTTCCAGGTTCATCACAAAGCAAGCTGGCAAGAGCCCAGCAGAAGTTGCGGCCAGGCCCTGTCCCTCACATGTGCAGCCCTGTTCTGGGGTACAGACCCCTTCTGGGAGGCTCCTTAGAGCAGGTGCCCCTGGTTGGTGACTGGGCTCCTGACTCGGGGTCTGGCGGGTGCCACACTGGAGGTGTGTGGGGTGACAGTCAGCTGCCCAGGCAGAGGCCCCCATGGTGGGGTGACCTGCGCATAGACCCTGGTGTCCAGGCCACACCCACCCACCTGTCACTGTCAGCCCACGGCTTAGGTGAGAAAGTGGCCTCAGGATAGACTCGGGAGTCCGTTGGGCCTCCTTGTTCCCTGGCTCCTGGGCCAGACCTCTTGGAGGCCCCGTGTCCCGTCTACACTGCAGGCGTGAGCAGCCCCTGCTGGCTGCTGTGAGAACCAGCCTGCAGTCATACTGGGCTGCCCCTACCCTAGCTCCTGTTTCCTGGCACCCTGAGCTGGCTGCTATGGGTGCCGAAGCCTTCATTAGCTGTCCCAGGAAACTCCCAGGACATGGGCCACACGGGGTGCCAGGATGGAGGGAGGGGGCTGAACTGGTTTCACAGGGTGCTTTCCTAGCCTGCCTGTGTGTGTGTGTGGGGGGGGATTCAGGGGGGCTTCCAGGAGGAGGTGGCGGCTGAGTGGGTGTTCACTGACTCACAGGCATGCGGGACAGAGGCAGGAGACCTAGTCCTCTCAATGGAATGAGGGCTGGAGCATCCCCAGCTGGCTGGGAGGAGAGGTGTGGGACAGGAGGGGACATTCTACAGATGTGGCCTTGGTTCCAGTGCCTGCTGCCCCCAGGGCTGGGAAGGGGGCAGCCAAAGGGTGGACGGAGACCCTCCCGATCCCAGCAGACAGGGCTCCCCACGGAGCTGGCCCGCTCAGCTATCAAGGGGCCTCAGTAAGTTGGTCATTAGCCCCTACTGTGGGCCCCAGATCGAGAGCCAGGTTTGACCGGGGGTTGGTCGGGATTGGCCCGGGAGAAAACAGCTCAGTACAGACCACGAAGGGGAAGCCACAGGCAAGGATGGGACCAGTGCGAGTCCGTTAAAAAAATATTCTTAACCCTTGAGATTCTGCGTCGATTATGCATTTAATTTCATCAGTTCTTTTAACAGAGGTAGTGCTGTGCCCCCAGGGTGCTGGGCTTTTCCTGCCAACACGGGGAGATTGGCAGCGGATTCCTTCAGGCTGGAGGGGCCAGAGACCTCAGTCTGGATGTTGGCTGTTAATTCCTGTGCTGTTGAAGTGTAAAAGAAGGGGGTTACGGGGAGCACCCGTGCTACAGACAGAACACCGGGACCAGCTTCAGGTCACACAGCTCAAGAAATGTCCCTGGCTCTGTGTGCTAGATGGGACCTAGGGGTGGACACTGGAAGGACCCAAAGGGCCCCAAGTGGCAGGGTCACTGGAAGCTGTGGCAGATGGGCCGGGCAGCAACCGGACCCGGGGTCCTCTGGTGGAGAAGCTCTGGCTGGGAGGCTGAAGCTTGTGGGGCAGGAGGGGAGCATCTGCATGGGGACGCCAGGGCCTGGAGGCTGGTACCGTCACCTTCGGGCAGGACTGCAGAGCTCTGGTGGCCTCCAGGAGCACAGGGCTCACATGGCAGGAAGGGCTTTGAATGCAGCGTGTGGCCAGCTGCCCAGCCTATGGTACCACCTCCTCCTCAGGACTCCTAGGAGCCTGGGGCAGGGGCTCCGTGCCTTGGCTGACAACAGGACATGGAGAGTGGCTGGTGGCCGTCCCCAGGGCAGAGTGTCCCTAGTCTCCGGGAGTCACAGAGCCTGGTATGTGCTCAGCCCTGCTGCTTAGTAAACACGTGCACTTGGTGTTGGAGGAATGAAGGAATGAAGGCAGAAAGGGCACGTCTGACAACGGGCAGCTGGCAGTCCTAAGCCCCACATGGCTTCTGAGCCTCTCAAGGCTCTTCGGGCTGACTGGCTTCCTGCTCCGTGACCTTGGCAAGCTCTTATGCAGATGTCAAAACCCTACTCTGCAGTGGTTGAGCACATCCTTACCAGGTGACGACTGCACCAGCCCCGAGGCAGCCCTGGCCTGCAGACACAGGGTGGGGGCTCTGCCACACGCTGTGCCCTGTACATCTGTGTCCTCGCTCAAGGACCTGTCATCGGGTTGGGCCACCCCGCAGGTGGCCCCCCTTAACTTTATTATATAACAAAGGCCTCTTTCCAAATACTCTCACTTTCACGGGCGCTGGAGTTGGGGCTGAGGCTGTCTGCAGGGGTACAGGGTGCTCCCCACACCTTCCCCCTGGAGGTCCTGGGTGGGCCCTGTGGTGGGTGGAGGGCAGCAGAGCTGGGCCCGGCAGCTGGGCAGGGATCCCAGGTGGGCAACCGTACACTGGGCCAAAACACTTTATGAAGCTGCCTTTGTGGACTAAGACAAGCACTTTCTCCAGGCCAAGTCCCTGGCCGGGCACCCTTGTCTGTTCTGTTAAAGGGGTTCCCAGCACCCTCAGGGTGGCGGCATCATTGTGTTCTGTATGTTGGAGGCCGAGAGAGTCATTATCTCAGAAACTAGCAGATCTGGAATGGAAACTTACGTAAATCCAGGCTATCCTGTGTCTTCGGTGTTATTTCCTCCTTTTCCCCAAGCACTTAAGCTTCTAAGGATTTAAGTTCTGTACCTGTCTTTGCTTCCCGGGTGTTTTCTGGAACTCGCAGTGCCGTCTCAAAGTTATCCGCCCCGAAGCCCTGTAATCTGCTCTCAAATTTTCCCTGCAGCCGTGGTCCCCGTGCCCGAGGGTTTCTGGGGTGATGGATTTAGGAGTGGTGACAGCTGTCTGTGTCTGTCACCGACCCCCGTGGCCGTGGGATCCGCTTATCTCGCTCAGGGTTTATGATTTCTCCTCTGATGTGGCCCGATGGGGACGAGGGTGGCTGTGTGGCCCCAGCCCAAGTTACAGAAGTTACAGGAGCATCGTATCTTTAAAGCCTTAGGATTTGTTTTTTTCAGTGAGTTTCCTGGAAGGGAAAAAGGCACAAGTAACTTTGTGTCCTGGTGCTTCAGTTTCCTTGAAAGTGCAATTTTAAATGTTGGGTTTCTAGCAGTCTGTATTTCCCAGCTCCCACCTCACTGGCTCTGTCTTCTCCTTTTCCGGCTCTTGTAGGGACACCGGTCCCTGGTCACTGGGGTGCTCTCACCCTTAACATCCTCAGCTTCATCACTTCTGCAGGGACTCTGTTTCACATCAGGTCCATGTGAAGGCCCAGTGCTGGATGTGGCCAGATCTTGGGGCTCCGAGGTCATTCTGCAGCCCACTCCCTCCCTGCCCCACGCACCTGCTCCAGTGCATCCACAGCGGCAGCCTCCCCTAGGGCCAGCCCTGGAGGGTCCCGGTGGTGGCCCTGCGACACCCTCTGTGTGACCCTTGTGTGAGCCAAGAAGCCCCCGACATGGAGAAGCAGAGGCCGCCTGCTCTGGGTAGTAAGCTGAACCTCTGCCTTCGGGCTTCCTGTCCTGCTCTCTCGGTCCACGTAGTCGTCAGTTATCCCCTCCATACAAAGGGAGGTGCAGGGAAGGGATGGAGCCCCGGGTGGGACAGGCTGTGGCCTTCCAGCTCTCCCTTCCCTCCCTTGTGGTGGCGAACCTGGCGGGGGTGCTCATTAGCCAGTGTAGATTGCTGTATGGAAAAAGGAGCTGTCTGAATCCTCCGCATCCTCCTCCACCCCACCTGTGCCAGGGAGACAGCAGCCCGCAGCGGGCCATGCACACTGCTCTCTGGGGACCCATCTGCAGTGTTACCACTCCTGCCGGACTCAGAGAGAGGGACCACCTGACTCCACAGGGCCTGGCACCCCCGGAAGGACTCGAGCCCTGACCCAACCCCCGCTGCCAGGCCACCCACTTCTCTGTCCCCACCAATGAAGCCCCAGCAGTGATAGCACTGGGGTTCTTATTGTGAGCTCTCTGTGCTTTAATGAGGGGTTGCTGTGCATGATATCATGTCCCAGGCTTGCTGGGATTCTGTTATGCCCTTGTAGCCATCAGGTGTAGCCTGATTCTACCTGAGACAAAGGAAACAGAAACCCAGGGCCCGTATGCTCAAGCTCCAGCCTGCCCTCCTTCTCAGACCTCCAGTGGGTTACCTCCAGAGATGCCTAGCTGATATCAACATTCGACGTTGTCACATCTTCAAATATCCTGGTCTCTGCTGGGGAGATGCTCAATTTAAGCCAGTTTCAGCAGGAAAGGGTGTGGTGATCTATTAGCCATGTCTGCCATGGTGGTCAATTAGTGATGTCTGCCACGGCCTCAGGATAGGCCAAAGGGTCTGTGTGCCCTGTCTGTGTCTCTGTGCAGCCTGTCGAGGGGGCCTAGAAGCTGGAATCTGAGCGAGGCTGTGGGACCCTGGTTGGATCCTATCATCGCTTCAGTCTCAGAGGCTGAGCAATCAGGGGAAGAATCAGTGGCCCTCACGTGCCCTGCTTTACCACCCAGTGCAGTGTAGATGTCCCCTTGCTGTGTAGACCCCCCCCACACACACCCGGGCCCTCGTCCAGGTTTTCCTGGAGCATCCCAGTCCTTCACAGAGCTCTGTTCCAGACCTCCCTCCCTTGGTCCTGCAGCCCCAGGACGGGGTGTCGCACAACTTACAGCTGTGGAAACTGAGACACTGTGAAGCCGAGAGGCTCACAGGGCACAGGTCCTCCTCGAGTGCTGAGGATGGAACAGCACTGCTTGGCCACTCAGGGATCTGATAAAGCTGAGGCTTCCTGTTTCCTGACTTCTGAGCACAGATGCGAGGTCCTGCATTGTAAATGTCCATAAAGCTGTTTTGTGAATGAGCCAGGAGGGAGCATCCACCCTTCTGGGGCAGTAAGCTGCCTTTACCATCCTCCTGCCCCCAAGTTTGTAGAGCATCATTCTGGGTCATGCCAGCACCCCAGAATCACCACTGACAGGTATGGACCACCTTGGAGCTCAGAGACCGCCTTCCCCAGTGGAGTGTGGGGCAGCAAGGGTGAAGGTGGACAGACAGAGGGACAGAGAGACCTCTGCAGGCCTCCTAGCCCCAGCTCCACCCTCACTGGCCCTGGCCCACTTCCTGCCAGCGTCCCAGCTGCTGTCCGCCTTCTGTCCGTCTGCTCCTGCTGCCTGTCCTCAGGGCTTCTTCAGACCTCCCCTCCCCTGAGAGGTGGACCGTGGTCCCCCTGCTATCTCTCCAAGCCTCCTTGGAGTCTGAGCTCCCGTGCAGTTCCGAAGTTCCTCCCACCTCGCCCCACCCACAGGGCTCCCACCCCCATCCTAGCCCACTGGGTGGCCCTGGGGGCTGCATCAGTGGGCCCCACCTGGTCCTAGAGCGGATCTGCCTCGCTGTGAGCCACGCCCACCTCTGTCCCCAGCACAGCTGGGGACTCTGCACCACCTGGCTGGTGCACAGGGGACACTGTCTCTCTCTTTTCCTGCTTGCTGACCTCATGTGTGGGGAGGAGCTGCTGTGGCCAGGGTTGCTCTGGGCTCAGCTCACCCTGATTCCACCCTGGGCACATCGGTGCTTGACCTCTCCACCCAGCTGTGTTCTCAGGCGGGCACAGGAAGTTGCTGGAAGCCCCCTGCCCCTGTGTCTTGAGCATGGCGGCTCTGCTTGTGGGATCTGTGCCGGGAGGCCAGCCTGGCTGGGTCCCCAGCAGGTCCGGAGAGGTGGCCCCAGCCTCACGTGCCAGTAGCCGGCTGTCCAGGGCCTCACCTCGCCCCTTCCAGCCAATCTACCCTCCCCTCCAGTGCATCCAGGCTAAGCCTCTGGCAGGGAATCGTGCTGCTCAGCCACAGGACCAGGAAGAAGGCTTTTCAGCAGGCCTCTTTCTGTGTAGAGCAGGGAGGGTACCTCCATGGTCTGTAAATAAGTTATTTCCAGTAGCCTGGCCTGGTCGAGCACAATTATAAACCCAGCAATCTGGGAGGCTGAGGCAGGAGGATCTTACTTCAGTCCACAGAATGTCCCTAGGGTTACCCGTGTGGCCATGAGTGCCGGATGTCCTTCCTGTGGTGCAGCCGCGGCCTCCATGTGTCTGTCCCACTTTTTTTCCTGCGTTTACCCCTCGATGAACATCCAGGGCGACCCATGTCTTGGCTTTGGGCAGGGCTGCAGTCCCTCTGGGGCCAGGTGTCTCTTCAAGGTGCTGATTTTAGTTCCCCTGGAGACCAGCCCAGGGGTGGGCCTGCCATATTGCAAGTGAGTTCTACTTCTGATGTTAGCAGTAAGGTCAGAGCTGCTTTTCATAAGGGCTGTGGTTCTGTAAATAATTAACTACTGAGTTCTTCCCAGCCCAGGGAGCGGATGCCTGACAAGTGGAACTGAAGGAGTTTGAAAATATAAGTGAATGTTCTGTTTAATATAGGAGTTAAAACGCTCTCTTCATAGCACAGGTGGGGGCCAGGAATGTCTGTCCAGGCAGGAAAGGGCACGGTGTGCAGGCCCTGCCCCACCCCGGGGGCAGCTGCTGGGACTCACAGGCTCCACTAGGCCACCTTCCTGAGGCAATAGTGATTTTCCATTTCTCATTACACCCACAGGGTGACCTTGGGGGAACTGGCTGGCAGATGCAGCAGCTCAGCCCAAAGTAAGCACAGGATAGGACATCCTGGGTGTGGAGTCAGGGCAGGGCCACTGAGCCAGGCACCTGGCCCCGCAGCCACCCCGGCTCAGGGAAAGGCTATCCTGGAGCAAGATTTACGCATGACCACAGAGGGCAAAGCCAGCAGGCCTAGGTGACATGCGGAGGGGAGCAGCCCCTGGTCCCGGAGGAAGGAAGGAGCCATGGTGGCCAGCACCAAGCCTTCAGGCAGGCTCCACTTGCCTTTCGACCTTCCTGCTTCATGGACAAGCCCCAGAGGTCAAGGGCTGCAGATTTTGCCGCGGCTGTGTATCCTCTGGGGCTCCCTTACCTCCTCTAGGCCAGTTTCCTCATCCTTCCCCTGGAGGGACAGCCTGTGGGAGGTCAGGCATCTAGGACCAGCATGGGCCAGAAGGGACAATTCTGTCTTCCACACCGGCTCCCTCCCCAAGCCCAAGAGCCCCTGTTCAACACAGAGATGTGATCCGGCCCTGCTCCTGGGCTCCAGGCACTTCCCAGCTTGCTGTCTTCAGCTCTGATGCCTCGAGGAGACTGGGAGGGGGTGGGAATCGAGCTTGGCTCGGTGGAGAGTGGGCATGTCTTGCTTCCAGAAGTTTCTCCTGGTTTCTCTGAAGTACGTGCTAGGAAGGGAAGAGGAGACAGAAGCAGCTGGCAGCCTAGTGCCAAACTGGCTGCCTCTCAGTGCACCCTGTGTCACAAACTCTCCCAGCAGCCCTGCAAAGAATGTCCTCCCTGCCTCTGAGGGAGGGAAGTGGCTGTCCAGAGAGAGATGCTGGCCTGGCCATCACATGCTAACTGCGATAGCTAATACCCCACCATGGAAACCCTGTTCACTGGCTCATTTTGGCGGGGTAGATGTGTGTTTGACCTCAGAGAAGCAAGAATTTGAATCTGGCTCTCACGCCAAGGCCAAGGCTTCTCACTGGGCCTCCAGCCCCCGGGAGTTAGAACTTGCCAGAAAGCTGCTGGAGGCCCTTCTCTTCCGTCCCCGACTGAGGGCAGCAGGTCAAGTGCTCTGCTGTAAAATTAGCAACTTAGTTTCAGTCATCAGGAAATCTGTCCGGAGAAATGCATGTTTTCAAGGGATCCGTTTTCTTACAAACCAGCATGATAACAATAAAGAGAAAGGTCAGGCTTCGGGGAGAAAGGGCGTTTTTTACATTTATAATAGGGATTCATTATGCACCAGCCATGCTTGAAAAGGCCACAGCTACAGAAAAAAGAGGCGAATCCCAGGGACAGAGGGTGACAGAGGCAGGGCCTGGTTGCTGGAGGAGGCTGAGGGGCCCTGCATGGCTGTCCAGCCCAGGCCACAATGGGTCTCGAGGACCAGTGCCCACCCTGGGGTTTGGAGTCCATACTATGGCCTGGTGCGAAGTAGGAGGCCGCATAGAGCAGGGGCGGAGCTCTAAGGTACGTGTGCCCTGAGCTATGCTGCGCAAGGTTGTGAGTGGGTATCAGCCGCTGACAGAAGAAGGGACCGGCTCAGAGTGGTAGAGAGGGCCGGTGTCCCTGAGTGGCTCCTGCGCCTGCTGTCCTCTGCCCGGCCTCACACTGGCTTGCTGAGTCCCTCTCTCCAGGCCCCCGGTGGATGGAAAGGCCAGAGAGAATGTGCAGGCCTACTGTGCACCTACCTTCACAGACCTGGGCTGTCCAGGAGGTCCGCCTCCCCATGGCCCGATGAGGCTGTGGTCAGAGGAAGACCTGAGGCTCTGGGAGCCGGGCCCTTCTAAGCCCCTCCCAGCATTCACCGGGTAGAGCAGGTGGGTCAGAGTCTTCCTGCTGGAGCATCCCACCTTCTCCAAAGAGATGGACTCCATGGAGACTCCACACGGTGGGGACCCAGCCAGAGACCACAAGAGTCCCCCAGAGCGCTGCCTCGTCAAGATCTTTCCATCAGCTCCTGGCTCTGTCTGTGTCCTCTGCAGAGCTCCAGCTCTGGGCATGGTCCCAAGGTCAAGGCCCAAGATCATGGTCAAGATGGGTGAAGAGCCAGGTCCATCCTGATCCCATCCTCTTCCTGGAAAACCCTTTGCTTAACCTGCAGAAGCTGGGGGCTTCCAGCAACATTGTGAAAAGGCAGTGGCATTGCTAAGAGGTGACTTCCTGCTCTGGGCCATCTCCTGAGTGCCAGTCAGCTGCTACAGGTCCCTCCACCTGGTGCCACCCCTGCCCTGACTTTTAGGGGGCTGCGTCTGCCCCAGGGTGGGATGTGTCTGGGGTCCTGGAGGAGAGTGGGGGTCCCTGTCTGCCCTCTGCACCTGGGGTTGGGGACCTCAGTGCTATATGAGACTTCTTGGTGGCTGTGGGCCAGGCTCTGACATCCAGGACTCAGTGCCCTGTGCACACAGGTGACCCTAACCTTGGTCCAAGATTGTCGTGGCAGCTGTGAGCCCGTGCTGGGGGGGCAGAACAGAAGGGTGCTGGACCGTGGCTGTTCAGCTCTGTGATAAACTTGGGGAACAAAATGCGGAGCCCCAGCCCTCTCAGCTCTGAGGTCCCTGACCCCTGGGGTCACCATGAGGAGGGGACGAAGGGATGTGGACCACAAAGCCCCTGCTGGTGCCCAGCGCCGAGGGAGGGAAGGGGAGGGCAGACACTGGCAGATTTGGGCCTCCCGGCAGGCCCCTCACAAAGTGAAGCCCTAAAAGGACGAGGAGCCCGGGCAGGTGACCTGTGCCGCAGAGCTCAGAGTGGCTTCTGGGAAGGGAGCAGCTCCCTGGCGCCATCCTGGTGGCTGCAGGAGGGAGCGGGCCTGAGGCCTGGCAAGGTGAGCTCAGGAGAGGGAACAAGACAAGAGAGAGGACGGGCGGGGTACAGGGGCCTGAGTGTGTGCATCAGTGAGTGTGTGCACTTGTGAGTGCAAAGGTGTGTCTACAAAGTGTGTGTGTACGTGCAGCAGTGTGCCTACATGGGGTGTGCACAGGTATGTCCGCGGCTCTGCATGTGTGTGTGCTGTGGCCCGGGAGCCACATGTGCAGATGGGGAGGGACTGGAGTTCAGGCGCTGACCCCGCATGGGGAGAACACAGTCACCTGGTTCCGCCCTGCAGTGTGGGTGGCTCTGGTGAGGCCGCTGCAGGGCCTGGTTCAGGCAGCTCAGAGGTGAGGCCTGGGCCGGGGGGCGGGGGGCGATTTCCACAGGACAGAGGTCCTGCTGGGACAGAGCCCACCGCTGGGGTTGGGGTCCAGGCAGGGCAGCACAGGGAGAGGTGCACACAGGGACCTCTGCCGTCCACCCGCCCCGCGCCCCGCCTGGACGTGCTGTGCACACCCTTCCCCTCCGACGCCGGAGTCGGCACGGAGGCCCTGCAGGGATTAAATTGCTGTTTGGCAGGTTGGCGCCACAT